TCTACTCTTTGTCCGTTGTGAAGAACTACACCACAGGGTAGTTCAAGACAGTCTGTCGTCATGTGATTGAAGGAGCGACGACAGGGCTGGTGGAGACGACGGCCACAGCCAGAGAAAGGTCTCCCCATAAAAATCAGCTGATGGCAAAAAACAATGACGCATGTAATTTGTGACAGGAAGCACTTTCATGCTGGATCCTTCCAAAGTTACACATCCATTATTTGGAAAAAAGGGGCAATCTGCAAAGTATCCAAACAAATGACCATGCTTTGAAGGCAGATAGCTCGCGTCCTTTGTTTTGAACACATAGAGACTGGACTCAGTATATTCAAGAGATATTGTATGGTAAACTTCTGGTCTTTTTTTTTTTGTCCCAAAACATTGAAATTCAACGTTATGCAACAGAACTTTTCAGGGAGAGGTATTCATTTACTTTGAAACCGTCTCCTGGCAATTGTGGCTCCACCTCCTGGCCAGATCCGAGATAGAAATCACAGCCTTAGGACAGAATTGCATGGGATTTCTTGATGCCAACCAAATTGTCCACACTGACAGACCTCCTCATCGCAGATTTATGCAGGTCCTTGTACTTGTCCTCACACAGCCTAGAGATCGCCTAGAGACAAAACCGTTCATTGTTTTTAGACTTTTGTTCAGTATCAGTGAAAAGAAAAACTCAATTCAATCAATTCCAGTTTCAATGTAGCCTTGAACCAACTAACCTCCAGTTTCTGAGCCCGCTTGTTGCTCAGCGGCTCCAATGGAAAATTAAGGTTGTTGTCATCAGCCAGTGAGCGCAGGTCAAAGTAATACTTGGCGTACACACTGGCTGGGACATTAATGTTGAACTGAAGAAGCTCCAGGAAGTGACGCTCCATCTCATTCCTGCAGAACGTGGAACACAGCGGAATGAGTTACTCATTGCTAGTTTGTTCAATGATCAGTACTTTAATGGGGGAAAGAAGCACTTACATGTCCTCCACTGTTATATCTTTGAGGATCTGGCAGTAGTCGACATTCCACACAGCCTGGTCGTCCCAGACCTTGGAGGCCAGCAGAATGGCGCCAAGAACAATCCGTTTCCAGTTACAAGGACAGATGTCCATCTCAGCATACGTCAACAGCCTTTCTAGGTAAACCTACCATGTCACAAGCAATATACACAAATGATGGTAAAAGAGAAACAAGTGTTGGAATGGGGATCGTGTTTCTTTCATCAGATTCTTAAGAGTGTATTCTTCTGCTTCCATATTACCAAAGTGACGATGGCGCACTCTGCGGTGAGCTGTGCCGAGCTGAAGAGCGTTCTGATAAAGCGATAGATGAGTTTGTGTTCGGGGTCAACCACGGAGTAGTCATCTGGAACTTTGTCTCGCTGTCGAAAAAACAGAGGGTCATCATCAAAAGGGCGATCATCGTTGGTCAATCAGCACAGAGGCAGCAGCGAACAAAAAAAACCAACAAACTCAACTCACCGTTAGAGGGTGTTTCTTCTCATCAAATATATCCAGCGTGCGGTTTGAATCTCTGCAAGAGCAAACGAGCAAATGCTGAATGTGCAATATGTGTGAACTTTGTCACACTTTGCAAAAATGATATCACTTATGTGCGAAGTTGGAAATGTGTAAGTGACATAAATTGCTGACCAACAACAAAAGGTCCATCTATCTATCTATCTATCAATCAAAGGTCTATCTATCTATATATCTATCAATCAAAGGTCAATCTATCTATATTCAAAGGTCAATCTATCTATATATCTATATTCAAAGGTCAATCTTTAGCAGATAAAAGGTCCTTTCTCTCTATGATAAATGATCTACCTATCCACCTATAATAAAAACCGACCTACCTTACTGCCTGTCTGCAGGACACCGACTCAAAGTCTATCTCTCCGTGAGTTGGTTACCTCTTGTCCACTGACTACCTCCAGGACCATCACATTATTTCCTCAATTATTGACCAACCAATTTCAAAAAAAGACTACCCATTGACTTGCAGCCAGCAAAAAGATGCTGTGACGCCAGTTAAGGTTGGAAACAAACGAACATGCTATGAATCTATTTGTGATCTATCTATCTATCTATCTAAAATAAAAGGTTTATCCTTCATTTTCCTGCCAATATACTTGACTCTAGGAACAGTGAAACAACACCATGAGGGATGAACTTCATACCAATGAATCAAACTTCTCCTACCTGTTTTTGATGTGATAGTATATGGCCAACGCGACGCTGCAACAGAGAGAAAACAGACACACGCCAACATTGAACCACAGGATGTAGATCACATCTGTTGCAGCTGGTATTGTCAGATACCTTGACCATTTATATGCAGCTCACAAAATGACTGTTATCATGGGACCAAGCTCGGCAAAAGACTTGCGCGTATTGGCAGCAGATAAGTGGAATTTAAATGGAAATGGCTTCAGTGTAAAAGACATATTCTTAAGGAGTGAAGGACAAAAGGAAGGGGAAGTAATGAAAGGAGCTAAAATACTTCTGTTCTTATGAAGATATCCAGAGGACGGGAGGTAAAGTCACCTACCATTTAATTGTGCTTTTGAGGTTGGGCTGGCTGACCGTGCTGTCATCGATGAATATCGTTGAGCAGGAGCTGTACTTTTTTGTCAGGAGGCCCGGGGACATGTGCTACAGAAAAGATGATAATATGGGAGGAAGAGGGGACACTTTTAAGATCATTGCAATGGAAAGAAACACATTTACGTCACCCATTAGTTTCACCACGAACCCTGGCGTGTACACTTAAAAACTGTTCTGCTAAAACTTAAGCATCGGTGACCTTTCCCTTACATGATTCATGTAGTTGCTTTTCCTCTTCTCGCGCACTGAAAAAAGAAAAAAGAAAAGTCAATGTACATCAAAATGCAAACACACTGATCTTTTACATTTTAAATAGATGAAACAAGCGGGATCACAACGGGAACATCCTTTTACCGTCCGTCTGCGACTTGTTGAGGAAGAGGGTGCTAGCTCTGGGATGGTCTGACGGGTTGGCCTCTTGGGCTAATTCTGTCGATATTCAAGAATGAAACAAGAGCATTTCTTAAAAAAAACAAAAACACTGCACTTCACTGGAGTACAAACAAGAGCCTCCATAATTTCATTCAAGGTTCAAGGGTGAGGGCATGGAGAAGAACTGCAGGGGATGCACACGCACCATCTGGGAGCTCCCGGTCACTGATGTGCTGCAGGTACGTCCCAGTGTCTTCGCTCACGTCCTCGCAGGTGGTGATGGGACACTCCTCCAGCTCCACCTCTCTCCTGTGGATCTTGGGGCTCTCCCCAGGGGACATACAGCAAGACACCGACCCTCCCATGGTTGACCTATGACAGTCCTGCTACAGCAAGGGCTGTTTCCCATACAACTAAGGAAGGGTCAACTTCTAGTCTCACTGGGCTGCAGGGTGCCTGCAACTTTGAAAGTTTAAGTCTAGATCTTTAAGTGGCTGATAATACAGAGTCAAACCAACGTGATTCTGACATTAGCTCCAAGTTATCTTAAAAATTATCTAATTTTGGTTTAAGAGTGAACGAGAAGTCTAGCCTGTGCGTTTTCCTGCAAGGTGAAAAATCGTGCAAATTCAGATTAGAAGTGGATGCATGTAATGACATCCAACTGGGTATCTGCGGTATGTGCAGGACAAATGGCATTTTCGGGGCGTGTGCGCAGTATGGCATTGGCGCTTTTTAGTACGACTTGCATGCGTAGACTGGACAGTTTTGGACGACAATAACTAATATCAGCTCATTTTACCAAACAGACGCTAACAACACAAAGTCACAAGCTCCTCTGTCTCCATCCATGGCTAGCCGGCTAGCGCTAGCTTCCGCAGCTCAATCCATTCCTGGCTTCCTTGGCAGCATGGATCAATCCATTTTCACTGCAGCTGAAGCCCCTGTCACAATACACGCCTTCAATGCCGCGTAAACGTCAAATACTGCTGTCAGGAAACAACTTTAGAGATAGCTAACAAAGTGGAAAAGAGGAGAGTAATGGAATTTATGAAAGGCAGCAGGCGTTAGCTTTCATCTCGTCGCATTTACAGGACACGTCTTGGATGTCAAATGATCGTAGAATCAAGTGCAGGGGTAGCTTCCGACTTTGTCCTTTCAAAGTAAAAGTCTCTATCATATTTAAGGCAACACCGAAAATGTGCTTTGCATCTAGCGTTTAAAGATGGCACGATTGCAACAACAACAACAACTGCATTCAAGAGGGAGGTAGATAAATAAATGGTTGATAATAATGTAAGCTAAGAGAAGACATTAACTTGGGCATGTGACAAAAGTATACTTTTGTTTAGATCAATATTGTTATACGTTTGAAGTGAGTAGTCTTTAGGAGGGCCACTCGACAAGCCCCTCTGGGTTTATTTGGCTCCTCCAGCACATTTATTTCCAAATGTATGGTTTGTTAATTAACTAATCATTATGCACTGTCTGTTTTTCCATTGATCTATTATGTTTATGGTTTTTTTTTGTGAGCAATAAATAAATAAAAAATAATAATAATAATTTTTTAAAAAGAGTCCAAAGCTGGGCCTTAAAATCGATAAAGAAATATAACTGCAACAACGTTTGAAAGCAAGTCAGACGAAAAGGAAATAGGGAGTCATATTTTGCATATTTAACTCACAAATCAAACAATAGATATGTTTAAAATGTCAGTATTGATGTTGTCGTGTTAAAGCTATTTTTAACAGCTGGTCCGGACTGTATAAATATAAAATATTTACATCCTATGGGTCCAGGAGTTCCCGGCTTTTATTTTGAGCATTGAGAGGCAAATGAAACGGAAGCACATTGCTGATATCTGTTGTTACCTTTACGAACCTGGTGCCGCGCCCCCTCCATTATGAAGAAAACACACCCGGTCAGGAAAAACGACCACTAGGACCGCCCACAGTGAATTCAGGCGATTCCATTGGCCACTTTTAGCAATGCTCTGACATGATTGGCTTAAATTGCTCATGGATGGGTCACTGCACCTAACGCTACAGTGTTCATAAAAAAAATAACCAAGCTAGCTAATAGCTTATTGCTGAGTAACGAGGTTTGATAATTGGGAGATAACATCGACTAAAAAAACGAATTTAAAGAAAAAAAAAATCGCCGCTGGAGGGTGAAGGGTGGCAGTACTGAGTCGACTAGCTGCTTTTTAAAACCCCACAAGGAAGAACCACTCTGCGCATGCGCTCACGTGAAAAATGACTGCGGTGTAGTTCCTTCTTTTATTTTCCAGCATGGCTTTGGTTCCTTATGTGGAAAATCCCTTGCCAGCGCTTTCCAAATTGAACAATTCATCCGCGCATTTTCGGTTCGCAAACCACGACCTGAGTCTTGCCCAAGACTGGAAAAACCTCGGGGTGGCAGCAGTTGTGTGGGATGCGGTAAGTGACGATACACCATGAGCAATGCTACTTGGACTCTGCTGTCATTACTACCTACGTAGCTAAATGCATATTACGCGTTTTTGCAGGCGGTTGTCATGTGTATGTACCTGGAGCTGGGGAAGGTGGAGTTAAAGGGGAAGGAGGTGATTGAGCTGGGAGCCGGGACTGGACTGGTGGGCATTGTAGCAGCCTTGATGGGTAAAAGTTATCCTAACTTCTCTAAATTCCACCTAATCAAACAAATAAAATGCCAGTTGTACATGCAAAAATATTAAACATGTAATGTAAAAAAAAAAAAAAATCCAGGTGCCAAAGTGACCATCACTGACAGAGAACCTGCTCTGGATTTTCTGTCAGCAAACGTGAAGGCCAACCTGCCCCCAGAATCCCAGGAGTCAGTGTTCGTGTCAGAGCTGTCGTGGGGCGAGGGCCTTGAGCGCTACCCAGCTGGGGGGTTCGATCTCGTCCTGGGAGCAGACATCATTTACCTGGAGGACACCTTTGTGCCGCTGCTGCACACTCTGGAGCACTTGTGCTCGGACACTGCGGTGGTTTTCCTCGCCTGCAAGATCCGATACAAGCGCGACACGAACTTCCTGAGCATGCTGAAGCAGCAGTTCGCAGTGGAAGAAGTCTACTTTGACAGGCAAAGGGACATCCATGTGTATAAAGCCTGGAAACTGACAACAAGGAGGGATCTGTGAACACACACACAGACGCAACCGTTGTCTACCTTCATTTTGTAGTAAGTGACTGTGCAATCAAAATAAATGTCTGAAAACTCCTCAAAGATTACCAGAAACACATTTATTAACAGCTGCCAAAAATGTTGTATTTGAATAGCTCTAACATAATGCACTGTTTTATACAAGTTGGTGCAGACATTTAGAAAGTGTGAATACAAAATTAATGGAAAGCAACATAAAAAAAAAAGAAGCATACTATGTCATGACAATACATAATACCTAAAATAATACAGTATGGCATTCCATGATCATGAGAATATCCACTTGGTTCACTGTGAAGTCTTTATGAATCAATCGTATTTGCGTCCTTCCTTTTTTTTTTTTAGTGGGATGTTTGTGATTGGTTCAAATGGAGTCATTATTGTGTACATATGAAAAACTTATAACGTCTAATGCATTATGAGATGCTGCGACCGTAACTGAGCCCGAAAAACACACTCATGGGTCGGTGGTGGTCGATTGAGATTATCCTGTGTGTGATGGTATGAAATGTTAAGGATTGTATGTGCAAGGAAAGTGCGCATGAAACTTTGTAGTCCTGTAAACAGAGTTTGGAGACAGGTTTAGCTGATGCCTTAACCGCTGGGATCCTGGGTTAATCCATTTGCATTAGAAAGATAGCAGGAAACATGTCCGTGTCTCCTGCTTGTACAAAATCAATGCAAATTTTAAAAAAAAAACAAAAAAAAAACAGGGTGGTACAGATTCTAACAGTATAATGCACACATAAAGGAGGCGACAGGTGTCTCCAGTGGTGGGAAATATGTCTCCAAAATTTGTTTTAAAAAAAAGCAGTACAACATTGCGAACACAGTGAGGCTCTTTGTTTTTAGTTTGTACTCAAAATCTGCAAAGAAATAAAATGAAGTTAAAATTTGTATTTAAAAAAAAAAAAAACAATGCCTTGTAGAAAAATATGGTACATGACCTGAGCCAGTTGGAATTCCAAATTTTGCAACGACCACTTTCCCTTGAGGCCGCTAAGAACCATTTTTTTTTTTTTTTTTACCAGAAACTACAGCCGCCCAATAATGCTCTGAACAAGCAAACGTAAGGATTTGTAGAAACCACAAACAAGGAGCCGTACGTGTGTGTGTGTGTAAATGGAAACATGCATAAGAGAGCCATAAAACACATGAAAGAGTTCTGTAACCATAAATGTCTTTTTCAAAGTGTAGTCATAACGCTACCTTTAACATGAGACCCATTTAACAAACCCAAACATAACATGTAGCTCTTTTTCTTAACAAGGCAGTCAATTAAAGTAACAAAAACAAAAATCAATGGCATTATGCAAAACAGATATTCCAACACGTAAAGAAAACATCGCTAAAAGATAAAAGTCCATGACACGGCCCGTCTAGAATTCAAAGCGTTAGTAAGTAACAGATGTTAATGCAGGAGCGCCGTTACGGTTACAAACGCTGCACACAAAGGGTCAAGTCTCCAAAAAAAATGATCCAAGGGGTCTCGGGGCCGTTTGCAACTGTAAAAAGTTCCATCGCTGAGGTTGCTCCAGAAGTTGCCCCGTTGCTGGTGATGTCGCCCAGTTAGCCCAGGCACCAGTGACTGGAATGTCCCCTCTGATCTGTCACTTCACCACAAGGACCCTGTGTAGTTGTAGTTTCCTCCACGTCCACTCTTTTCCCCCCGCTCCACCCGTTCATTGGAAACTGATGGGGAGGGGGGGGGATTTTTTGAAACGGGTGTGTGTGTGTTTCTATTCCTGGTGAGTCTTTTATACAGATATTTTAGCAGTTTTTAAAAAGAAAGCAAAAAAAAGGGGAGTAGAAAAGTGGGCGTGGCGTCCAGGTGCGTGGCTCTGTGGTGAGTCTCTGTACACGGGGACAGTTGGTGCACCTGGCAGGCGTTTGGTGACGGGTTTTTTTTTTTTTTTTTTTCTACTCGGATTTGTGGCAGTACAAGTCTTTGAGGGCTTTAAGTTCCTCGATGAGGGTTTTGTTCTGGTTCTCCAGCACGGCGACGCGGTTCTCCAGACACTTGACGTACTCCTTCTTCTTCCTGCGACACTCCCGGGCCGCCTCCCTGTGTGACAGAGAGACCATGTGGGTGAGGAGGTCTGTGTGTATGCCTAAACATGTGTGCACGGTAACTTGACCTGTTTAAATGACCTAGTTAGTTCAACTAAGCAGGTGGGCTCCCCTCCCCTTAAAGAACACCGAGTATCTCATTAATCTCAAAATACAAATGCATTTTTTTTTTTTTGGATTGAGACTTGAAAGTAAGAAGGTAAAATCATTTGTTAGGTTCTTCATAGACATACCTGTTTTTCATAAGTCGGACCTCCCTTTTGCGTGTGACTTCCTCCGTGCCTCCTCCTGAGCCCAGTGCAGGCGAGGTCGCCATGACTACCCCGGAAGTGATGGTGCTGGTGGGGGCTGTGCGGATCTGATAGGTCTGGACGTCACCAGAGGCAGCTGAAGGACAAGAACAACCATTTGATTATTCTAATATAGTTCACCTTTTGTAGGCTAAAGCTGGATATTCTTTTTTTTTTTTTGTAGTTTTATTCTCCACCTTGTACAACAACTTGGTTGCTTGGGACGAGGATCTGCTGCCCATCACTGGTCTGGGCGTACTGCAGGATCGTTGCACCAGACTGGGCTCCAGCAGCGTTGGCCATGGTCAGAGTCTGCAGGCCCTGCACTCCATCTGTGCCGTTATTGGCCAGCTGAATGGCTCCTCCCTGAGTAATGGCAACTGCAGAGGGATTGTGTGAGACTTTATTTGTGCACAAACAAACTCGGCCTTATCCCAGAATGTAACCGATCCAAAAAAAGCTTAATGCATGCAAATCGATGAAGAAATGTTGCTGTACTCACTGTACTGTCCGCTGCTGGTCTGATAGATGGGAGTGGGCATGGTGACTGTGGTGATGGCAGGAGCTGAGTCGTCCTCCGACTTCTCTTCCTCAATTCGAGGCACCGCTGGAACGTCTGACGATAAGTCGTTTAAAATCTTTCTGCAGAGGGGGAAAACGATCACAGAGAAACATTTTTTTAAACTTTTACACTTACACAACAACAATCATTTACAGGTTATTATAGTCGTACAAATATTTTTTTTTAAAATGTCGATATACATTTGTGATTAGATGCTGCACCAACCTATAAGAAGGTCGCCTGGACAGAATCTCTCTCCTCTTCTGAGAATCTGTCACGCTATCTACGGATTCCTGAGAATCCTCACTCTCGGCAACAGTGGAAATCTGAAACGAGTCAAACTTTATTGCCAAAAATGAAACTCGTTAATAAGACAAAGTGAGTACAGATGTGTTCACGGCATTTCTAGGGATTTGTTTTGATCCCAAATATTTCAGCAATGAAGGTGGAAACAATCTACCATGCAAAAAAAATAGAATTCGTTCAATTTTGTAATGATGACATCCTTCTCACCTGTACAGTCTGGACTTGTGGGGACTGGATGACTGAGGGCTGTGCAGCTTGGATCACACCATGCACCTGGACTGTCTGACCGTTGGGTAACTGAACTAGAGTGACTGTGGGACTACTGGACGTCACCTGTCCTGCTGCTATGGACGCCTGCAAACCATAACAACCAGTCATCAAATGTCACACACAAAAAGTAACAGACAGCAGAGATTTAAACCGACGCTGGAGATATTTACCTGGGTCAAGGTGATCTGCTGGGTCTCGGGCTCAGAGACAACAGTATCACCACCTTGCTGTGAGTCTGCAGCAGCCTCCATGGTCATTTAAAATCTGAAAATGTGAGAAACTTCTTATATGGATTTGATTCATCATGCTTACAGCCCATAAAGCGAGTGAGAAACACAGCAGTCACTCTTCAGGCAGTGTCTTGTTGATATTCCTAAGGAGGGTGTGGCTTAGCTAAACATGCTAGCACGCATTTCATTGATTAAACAAAGTTTTCTTGCTGTAACATCAGTGCAAGCCAGCTAAAATAACACCTCGTTGTGACGAGGATATTGTGTTAAACACGTTACGACCTGACGTAGGCGTGCTGTTGTTTTTGTTTTTGTTTTTTAAATAAAGAAGTGCTGCTGCAATAAAACTTTGCTCACTCTAGTCCCTGAAACACCGGAGGCTAAATCCAACTCAAGTTAGCATGAAGCTAGCTGCTTGCAGTGTGGGCGCCAGTTAGCATGCTAACAAGCTAATAGGCGTGCACAGCATGTTAGCACAGTTAGCAAAAATAAATGTAGCATTTATACAGCCTGTATTATAATAAAAAAAAACAGTTTTCAACACCACATGTCGGATATATATTTTTTTTTTGCATTTGTTATTAAAAATACTGAGCTAACGATATTAGCATGAGGTGGCTAGCTGTGGAGCTGTATGGAGGGAAATGTCTGCATGCATTGTATGCCTGTTTTTTTTTTTCTTCTGCAACTCGGGCACCTCACTTTCACTAACCAGTTATTTCCTGACTTTTTTTTTTTTTTTGCAGAGCACAATCTTGACATTTATTAGCCTTACATGAGTAACTGCTTCGGTACATTTTCTCTACACCGTTTATTAAAACAAAAATAAACATCAAGCCCACTCCCATATTTATACCTATGTCTCAGTAGTGTTGCGAGCCTTGCAGAGACTGACTCATTTTGTGAGCCTCTGCAACACCGCCGCCATGATCTCTTTGTTGGCTTTGTGCGGATATTAGGCGCAAATAACTTCTCTGGGCAGCCATCTATCTGTTTAGCAAACATCGGATGCGTATCCTCTTACCAACACAGACTCGCTTCGTCACTCCCGGGTCTACGGAGCTCCACTTTTATTCAGACCGACACGTAAGAGACCGCGTCAGGCTACACCTCCGTCGCGTCACCGAGAACAACAACACGGAGAGGAGGACGAGGGAGACGACGACAGCGAAAAAATCAGCTCTGTCGACGGGACCCGATTGGACACGAAGAGGGACGGAATGTCACGAAGGCTGCCGAGGGCGCAAGGGGGACTCCACGGAGATATCCGAGTTAACTGAGCATGCGCAGGGTTGCATAATCATAAAGCCATAGAAATGTAAATAATGGGCTTAAATCTTGAATTCTTAGCGATCACTTGATCTCATTTGGTTGCAGAGCAGCCTTTGAATCTGTCTGCCATTGATTGAATGTATATGCCTCTTAGAAGGATGTAGATTTGTGGTGCATTTTTATTACCACAATAATAAGTATAAATTCTCCACAAATACAACAAACAATCCGCTGTTTTCAATTTAGTAAAACTAACCTTCAATTATCACGTTTCACAAACAGGATTACAATTTAAATTAAAATAAAATAATGCTCCCATATCTAAATATATAGTCTTTCCTGCACCAATATGGAAACAATTATATATTTAATTACTGCCGGACTTTAGTAGTGAGTTTGCAGGAAAAATACAATCTTATAAATCAATTTTTCTTTTTATATAAGCATCTTTCACTTAATAATATTTTTCAAGAAGCTTTACCCATTATATCCTGAAAGACTAGTCGATGAATGTTATTTTAAATCGGATATTTGCTTTGATAATGAAACTTTTAAAATGAATATTAAACAGCCTTTTTGCACACATTTCAATTGTTTCAAAAATGTATTTGAAGAATTTAAATTTTACGAGCACTTATCAGTTTATGAAACATCAGAAAAATCAAGCCGGTAAGTTTTGATATTTTCGATATTGTTGTGCTGTAATACTGTATTGATACACAAGGTGGCAGCAAAACCCTACTTTACTTCTTCCATCCCCGACAGCCTGCACTGACACCGGCCCATTATGAAATGTCAAGGCACGTGTTTCTTTTATCCCGGCCTTCTATGATCTGTTAACTGTGAATTAGATTAACTGTGATACTAGCTTTATACAGCCAAACCATATTGTGACTTTAATGAGAAACCAGTGGTCTCCTGCAGCCTTGTATTACTTATTATGTGCTATTTACAGCCCTCGTGATTCACATTACATTTGCTTCTCCTTGGTCGTCGAATGCGGCCATAAAAAAAAAGTGCTCATTAACTCTGTCAGTCGGCGTGCGAAGGGGGCCGATGCTGCAGGAGCGAAATGGCTTCTAAGCTGTGGCAGCTGGTCAAAATCCTGCGGGGGGAAAATGAGACTTCAGACCAATTTATGACCATCATCTCTATGTGCGAGGTCATTCCGGAGGTCTCTTTATACACACACACACGCGCTCGGACGCACAGATGTCAAACATACCCATCTTCACCTAGCAAGTGATTGACGACAGCATGGGGGAGGGGGGGGGCAAACATATTCACTGCAGATTAAAACCATCTCATGTCCTCTATTAAAACATTTTATACGTCCTTAAGACTCTCCTGCAAAAGAGAATAAAAATATACAGGTGTCTCAAAGAGCAACCCTCAAACTTGTTCTGGAGTCCAAATCAGAGACTTGATTGGACATTGATTTCCCTTAAAAAAAAAAAAAAAAAAAAAAACCCACCAGATAGGACGCTTTAGCAGACTATAATTACCCTGCATCCCTACATTTAAAGAAGACGATGCATTAGTGCCACCCAAGTGTGCACTTAGCTATACAAGCTGTGCACATGCGGAAAGTTAAATTGATGCTTCTCGTGCAGATTGTGTAGCTTTCTTAATGTTTTGAACATGAAGAAACACATAACGCATGATTAGTCAAGATAAATGTAAAGGCAGGTCTTTAACAAGCGAGCTCACAGCAAAGACAGATTTGGAGCGACAGAACAGCATGATGGGGTTTTTTTTTTTTTGCATGGTCTTTTTAAATGACGTGAGAGATAGCTGCATATGCATAGTATATTCTAAACATGGAAAGATGTAGCACAGTGAAACAGTGCAAAGAGCTCACTGTGTTTTGCAAAAAAAAGAATGAACAGAAGATGCTCAGTTGAATGCCTTTAAGACAAGCGTATATTCACGATTTGGGAGCTGAAAGCACTATATTTTTTTGGCATTTGTGTTTGGACAATCATTTTTTTTTTATTCCCACACACTCATTAAAAGTGTTGCCAGTTAATATTCCGTGGATTAGCAGCGCTGAAATGTGTACACATTTGGCTTCTTTAGCTCGTTTCTGTAACTGAATCCTGCAGCTTTTTTTTTAAATGAGCTGTCATGGACACATGGACCCACAACACTGTTGCCAGTTAAGTCTAATTGAAAGTTTTTTTTATAAGCATTAATTGAGCTCCTTTTCTGAACGCTTAAATAATTAACAAGTGCTGCTAAAAGCATATTAAGTCCAACCACCCTTGCATTATTCACTCCTTTATCACATCACCTTCTCATTTCTCTGCGTGCAGATCCACAGTGAGTGTGCCCGGTGATTAAAGCACATTTCTGATTCGCTCTGCTCATGCTGGGGAGTTCTGGCGCTGAATATCTGATTGAAATGTTTAAAAAAACAAAAAAAACTCTGCAGCAACGACCCTGGCTGTAAATCACGGCTGAAACACCCACAAACAGCGAGAGCAACAACAAAAAAAAGATGCTACAGACGTCCAAAACGGTGTAGGAGGAAGAGAAGGAGGAGGAAGGAAAGGAGTTTAATCTTCAGAATATGAAGTAGAGGCCTGACTCCAATCCATAGCCCCTTTCCTTTCTCCTTAAACCCAGCTGTCAAAGCCCCCCCTGGCTTAACCCAAGCCTCCAAAACCCCATCGACAGCAAGCCCTATGACAAGTCCCATTTCCCCCCCCCCCATTTCTTTCTCTTTATTTTCTCACTTTTCCTCTTTCTGTGTATGTTTTTTTTTTAACCATGAAGTTAAAAAAAAAAGAAATGTAAATGCAGTCCTTAATCAAAACCAAGTGGGAAATATCATACCTGCCACTCAAGCAAGGCATTGTGGGAGATGTGGGCTCATGTGGGGCGTCAGGGCAGCGTCCAGAGAGAGCCTGAATATGAAACATGCTCTTCATTTGAATACTGGCTGACCTTATATGCATGCTTTTCATCGTGGAGTTGAATTACCTGAATCGCATATGAAACCAGTGCACCTGGCTGGGGTTGCCATGGATACCGGGCCCCACAGTCATGAGCTACACACACACACACACACAAAAGCTTCTCGGATGTGGAGTTTGAGAGATATGCAGTAAAATATTGTGTCGCTGAGGTGCAGTATCAAGCTGCAGCTGCAAGGCAAGGTGTAGGGTTGGGGGCTGGGGGGGGGGGGGGGGGGGGGGAGTTATCTAACACACAGAGATTGTGCTGACCCAGACCTCCTGCTAATCTAGGCTGTAGGCAACACCGACCGTGTATTGGGCGATCTCAATCAATCCGTCAAGGTGTCAGCTCCTCCCTCCCCTCTTTATCTTTTCCTCCTGCAAGGTTTTTTTTTTCTTCCGCCCACTCCCCCCCCGCTTCTTCCATCTGGCCATCCTCGCTTTCTTTCTTAAAGGTTAGATTTGAAAAAAAAAAAAAAAGTCTGCCTTCATACAATATTCACATGCACATATGTGCACAAAAGTACACGAGAGGAGTTCATTCCTCCTCCAACAGAAATCCCTCGTCTTTGATCTGTGACATGAACTCAATATCCCAAATTCCAGGAGGCAGGACGAGACGTAGAAAAAGAAGCTGAGGATGTCACGGTGTAATGTTTACAACACGATCCACGATAATGGCCGATGCTTTGACAGTATGTCGCCTGTATGTTAATGCTACACTTAACGTGGCAGATTCACACTAGAAAAGTCGTGTTAACGTCCGCTCTTTCCCGTGAGCTCCAAAGTCGGGTAAGTAGGGGGTTGGAAAATGTTGCTGTTTGCGTTCAATCATGTAGATTTGAGACAATATCACAGACCCATTTCATATAATCTCACATACAAAGTCAAATCTGATTGGTCAGATTTTGAATAGTCAACTGATCGTTGTTGTTTTTTTTAAAAATCCAAACACGTTACAGCCATTAAGATCCACAGATTGCTTCAAATTTGCCACATCTGTTGCAGATTCCCCCCGCTGTATTTTCTGTCATAAATCATTTTTATGAATGATTAAGTTCAACTGTGTCACACCGAAACGACCACTCGATTGACACCTCATTTGGCCAATTAAGACCCTCAATACACTGATCCCAGTCTATAATAGCCAATGAGAGCCTGAGTTGAAAGGAGGTGCCGGCCCCTGTTGCACTCGACTCTGCCGACAACAGGCGTTTCTTGTAGCCAGTGGAATTCTGAACACTGGTTATATATGTCCACATTTGAGGCTACCTGTTCGATGGAGGCCTTTGCATATCGTGTGCATGGCTTTGCACAGTTTTGATGCAGTTGAAGGGAACTGTCTTTGGGTTATAGCTAATGTGCACTCTCAAGTTCTGTTGCGGGCGATGCCTTCATGGATTCCGTTCATTTTGGCTCTCAGCAAGACCTGCTGCCCTTGGGTTGGACAAAAACCAAAAAAACTAGATGAAACCATCAGAAATAGTCTTGATCCAGACAAGGACACATACATCAACATCAGTCAGACTCAAGATATAGACATAAAAAACTCCACACACTGTAAGCACAGCGAAGCATTGCTCTTGTTTTACACCTTTTTCACTCTTCAACATAAAATGGACATTTAATACCTCCTGTTGTTGCCTTCTCTCACAGGGTAGGCGTAAAGGCACACATGATAGAGCCAGACTGTGTGTGTGTGCGGGTGTGTGTGAGTGTGAGTGTGAATGTGTGGACTTGGCACTTCTTCCCGTCATAACATGTCATTCTGGACACCATGACTCCC